AATTCGCCCTGCCTTTTGGCATACTCCTCTTCCTCGTCGGACGAGATTGTTATGGGTGTTGGTGCCCGCTCTACTTCGCCATCACATTCACCGCTTGGCCCGCTGTCGTCGGATCGTACGCTTACGTGCGATGATTCGTGCTCCATCTCCTCCTCTTCGCTCGTCAAATGTGGCGTATTGTTTGCCAAGTACTCTGCACCCCAATAGGCAGCCATCTCTGCATCTTCACTATTTTGGGGCAGTACGAACGGCTGCGTACTTTCGAGGCTTTCGATGTCCTCGACGCCGATTTCTTGTTGTTGCCTGCCACTGTTGCTACCGCCCTCGCTGGGGCTACTTGGCCGGCCAGCGTCGTCATGCTCGCCTCCGGTGCTGTTGTTGTCGCTCGAATTACTCGACCGGTCTCCACCGCTGCTGTCACTTCTACTGTAGCGTCGAATTTCGTGCTCTGTTAGGCGCTTTATACGTACGCGCAAAACGCCGCCCTCCACTTGCTCGGCTACAAAATTTGGCTGTTGCTGCTGCTGTTGCTCCATATTTTCGCGAACTTGTGCCTTGGCGCCCGCGGCACATCCTTTTTATTGCCGACAGTGGCCATTGCGCGACCAACTGTATTTTCCTAGTTTTCCGGCACTTTTGCAGCAAAATTTCGGTAATTTTGCTGCCGTTTCACTTTTTTTTTTTTCGTGGCTTTATGGACCCTGTAGTCCAAGATTGTTGGCAGTAATACTGTAATGTATATGCCAGGTTATACAAGAGTATTGAGGAAATCCGTTGATTCTTGAAGTCTCCCGCTATCTCAGAGGTTCTTCCTTTGATGCTCCTTGCTGTGCCGAATATGGGTGGAGGTGTTGGTGTGCTTTGACAAAGAGAAGATACACAAAACAGATACAAAGACAAAACGATTACATTGAACATACAGTTTCTCTAATGCAAACAGATATGCATTGAACATACATTTTTTTTTTTTTTTTTTTCTTTTATTTATTTACATTTGTACATCGACATGTAGCATAGTTTACACGTAAGTCGGAGCCCGTGGCTTGTCTTTTTAAAAAAGAACCGATTATATATTAATATAACATATTGATCGGTCCGATGAGTTTA